GCCCTCGAACTGCTGGCCCAATGCCATACACAACTGTTGCCCAATCACCAGTGCCGTTGGATCCTATGGTCTACAAGGTGATGGTGCGTTAGACTAGCCACAATGGGTAGTAACTTAGAGTAGTAACATGTCAATGTTATTAGTCTATGTTACTACCTCTATAGTGGGGAGTAACATATATGTGGTAACATGCAACACTTTATTTATTAAGCCATAGACTCATTTTGCATTGATATGTGTGATGTTACTCATACTACTAGTAACTAGCTATGTTACTACTTGGCTCTCTTTCTTCATTTATTGCTCGCCACATCATCCATTCTATCTAAATATGCGTGATGTTACTACCTATGTTACTCCCATTATGGGTAGTCTTACACCGGAGGTGGCCTGCCTACCAGGAAGCCCAACAGTGGGCCGGCCTCAGGGTCTAGCTACGGTCTAGGCCCCTCTCCTAGCCAGGGGGCTTCCTAGAAGCGAGGCCTCCCAAGTCAGGAGGCATCCCAGAAGTCCGCCCTCAATATGGCGCCAACCACTTGTATTCCGAGAGAGATGTATTAGCAGAGTAATTTGGGCAACAAGCCATGTAAGCCGACTTGGGCCTGTGTAATCGTACCCCTCATTCACCTATATACACTACTAGGAAAAAGCCTAGTAGTAGCGCGGGTGCCTGCGCTGCTACTACGGCGGTACAACTAACTAGTAGTAGTAGCGTGGCGCATCCCGCGCTACTACTACGTGTGATAGTAGTAGCGCGGGTTCGACACGCGCTACTACTAACTATCTGTAGCGCGTGTCTGTGACCCGCGCTACTACTATTAATTTGAAAAACAAAACAAAAAATCTCGACCCCGTGCATGCTATCAATCATGCAAGGAGATCTCGGCTATGACGCGCGCCTCGTGGAAGCCGTCGAGGGCGGCCGCGGAGGCCAGCCCGTCGTGGGCCGGAAGCTGGAGGACCTGGATCTTGGCATCGTGTGAGGGGAGCAGCACCTCGCGGCGGTCGTCGCCGTTGAGGTCGGCGGCGGGAGGCGGTCCACATCGTGCTTGATCGGGAACCCGTCGTCCGACAGGTGGTACCACGCCTCCCGGAATGAGAAGTCGCCCTCGTGCTGCCGGAGGAGGAGGGGTGGGTCAGCTAGGGTTCCAGATCGAATCAAAGAGGGGGGAGGAGGAGGAGGGCTGACCTGGAGCGAGAAGAAGATGGTGAAGGCGGCGAGGAGGAGGATGCCGAGGTCGCGCTTCCGCATCTTGGCGGCGGCGAGGAGCTCAGGCGACCGCCCACCGGAGGGATCTCGGAGAGGGAGGGGGAAGAAAGCAGAGTGTACCAGCGGCGGCAACCGCTGGAGTACGAGGGAGAGAGGAGGAAAGTGAGAGAGGGGGAAAGTGAGGGGGAGGATGGATTCGGCCAAGGATATGGGGATTTCACCTACCTCGCACTTAGTAGTAGCAAGGGGTATAAAACCGCGCTACTACTATCAACTTAGTAGTAGCGCGGGTTTCTACCCCTCGCGACTACTATGGCATGTCCCAGGAGGGCACGGTAGAGACCGCTTAGTAGTAGCGTGGGTTAAAAACCCACGCTACTAGTATCAACTTAGTAGTAGCAAGGGGTAAAAAACCCGCGCTACTAGTAAGTAGCAGTAGCGACGGTTATAAGAGGAGGTAGGGGCCACCCAAGTCAGCATCCAACATATGTTTCCCTCATATGAGGCACATCAATACAGTGACATGTAGGATATAGGGTATTACCTTACCACGAGGGCCAGAAGGTGGGTAAATTCTTGTCCCCCTTTGTATCTATTCAGATTCTCTATGCGCGCTCCACCCAACGCTATGCTGGGATTCACCTGTTTTCTGGATTGACATGTGTCCTCGTTGGTCGGCGCACAGATCGGGATGGATGACCACGCCTCCTTCCACACTTCCTATTGGGGGTCTCCCTCCAGCCTCCATCAACTCTTGCTACCTTGCAACGCGGTGATCTCATGAGTATCACATCACAAATCTCAGCTGGATCCATACATGATCATTACTTCTCAAGGAGGAGGATTGGACGACCATAGTCTTTGGATGCAACCGATGGGAGATGGTCCCTCGAGATTTGTTCAACCAATTTGGCAGGTGGCCTAATATTTTTGTGATATGAGAAGTCGCGGGGAGTAGGAACCATGGATCCAACATGGTTCCATGGTTGACACTTTTTTGTAGGAAAAACTTTCAATCCGTTCATCATCTGGTATGCTAGTACAAAGGACACCAAAAAAAATAGAAATTACAACCATCTTCGTAGACCATCTAATGATGACTACAAGCACTGGAGCAAGCCAAAGGCGCGCGACCGTCATCGCCCCTCTCTCGCCGGTTCCGGGCAAATCTTGTTTAGTAGACATGTGGAAAGTCATCATGCTAAAGCCTTGAAGGACCAGTGTGCCAGAACAACAACCGTCGTCGATAAAGAGAAGTTCAGATCGGAAGGGTGCAACTTGACGCCACATGAACAAAGACTGGATTCAAACCGATCCATCGAACACCAGCACCGATCGAACCTCGTGAGATCCGTCAGAGAGGGGGGTTATTCTATCATCAGGTCGCCGCCTCGCATAAACCCGAACTGAACTGAAAACTGTCACTAAAGTCTGGAGCAGGAGCCCTCCCACTGGCAAGGGTCAGGGTCCACCGTGCCCCCATGACCCTGAGGCCATCGGAGACAAAGAAACCCTAATCGACTTTTCTCTATTCAAAGAAACCAATGTCAGCCGGTCTGCACTTTAAGCAAGCACAATTTGAACAGGAACTAGTATGTAGCATGAGAGGTGATGGGGAATAGGACATAATTCGAACAGGAACAAGTACTATGTAGCATGAGAGGTCACGGGGAATAGGAACCATGGTTCCATGGTCGGCACTTTAGCCAAACATAACGTGAACAGGAACTACATGTAGCACAAGGCTTTACTCACGGAGAGAACTGAAAAATGGGAGACACGGTGCGCCATCCGAGGGGAAGAGGGCAGCACGCCAGCAAAGCGAAAGCGCCCCACCATCAAATCAGAGGCTTTATTCCGAATGACTGTCTAGACCAGCACCACACCACTTGTAGACCAAGAAGAAATTAGTTTTATCTTGGTAGGTAGTAGGGCGAAAGCAAGAAGCTTCTCTTCTCTTCTCCCCTTGGGCGTCCGTCTCTATCTACCCCGCCAGTCAGCAGGTTGGTTAGAAGCGAACATCCCACAGCTACAACCTGTCTGCCCCCTCCTCCTCCACCTTCCTCCAATCATTCGAGCTCCTCCTCCTCCTCTGTTTTGTCTGCGCGCGCGCGGGGACGGAGGCATCGCAGATTCCTCGGTTGCCGCTGCGGTCCAAGAACCGGGATTCGGCCCTTGGTTCCACCCCCCAAGGTCAGGCGATCCTTCTTCTTGGTTGCCAGAGACTCTGTTTGTCGCCATGGTCTTCTCTCGCTCTCTCTCTGGCGGAAGATGGACTGAAATCCCCCCTGACGCGCTATGTTTCCAATGAAATCCGTCAATCGGGGAGCATAACCGCGGGAATTTGCCGAGCAGTTTGCGGTCCAAAGCGTGACGAGAGAACCAACCACCGCCAAACCAATGCGGGTTGCTTCCTAATTTGATTTTCATCCGCCATGCGGGCCTTCCTGTTTTTATGTTCCCTCTGACGGCGTAGAACTGAATCTGTCTGTCTGTATGTCTCTCGAGTCCCGGCTCTGAGAGCTCTCAGACGAATCCAGTTTGATTCAGTTCCTGGTTTTTCCTCTGAACCTCTTGGGCATCTGTTAGACACCAGAGTTTAGTTTAAATAATTCTGATTTGTGTTATTACCTAATAGACGTCGATTGTTCAGTCCGTGGAGGATTGTTCTGGTATTGATTAGTGGATCCCCTGCATCCAAGTTCAGAGCAGAGCAGCTATTTGTTTCGTTGGGGCTTCCATGCAAATCTTGCTGCAGTTTTCTTCTTCCTTCAGTTTGGCCAAAGGGTAGCCATCTCTGAATATATCTGTGTGCAGTTTACAACATAGAATTTGTTTAGATGGTTAGTAGGCAAGAATCAATAGTATTCGCTGGTGTTTTTGAGTCATCTCCTCCTTCAGAAATGCTCTAAAGTGGCAAGTTGTTTATCTCATACAAATTCGGTCGACTTTGCTATGGATTTTTTACTTCTCATACAAATTCTGTCGACTTTGCTATGGATTTTTTACTTCTCAAACAAAAAATACTTGTTAAAAACGTAGTCAATGGAGTAATGAGTACTCACATTATTAGCATGGCTGAATGTGAATGATTTAATTTGCGCTGAGCAGTTTCCATGATTAACTCTGGTCAAAAGCTGCTTGTTGACCGCAGCTCCTTGCTGTAACCTGACAGGCATGTGCACACATTTTGATGATTCTTTCTCCCCTTTGCAAGCAATTTATATGTTTATTTAATCCGTAGTTACTAGTGCAACCTGTAACCATCAATGTACCTACCGATTCCTTTCACGTTAATGGTGACAGTTTAATTTTCCTGTAATGCCTTGCTTTGTTAGTAACGTCTGAACAAAGGCAGGTCATGTTCTACCAAGAACATTAATTTCATGCCAAAGAAGTCCTTTATGCGAAGAAATTTTAGATACTCTAAAGAAGGCCTTTACTTTTCCTGAAGGCAAGCATCATTAGTCTCACTCACCTCGAGCATTGTTGTGTACTCTAAAGTCTGACAGGAATATATTCTCATGATACCTTTATGCAAAGAAAATTTAGATAGCGTTGTTGTGTACTCTAAAGTCTGACAGGCATATGTTCTCATGATACATTTATGCAAAGAAATTTAGATAGTGTTGTTGTGTACTCTAAAGTCTGACACGCATATGTTCTAATGATACTCTGCTCGATGTCTACTCCATTCCAGGTGCATTTGTGTGGACCAAGATGACAATATAATAATTGCCTAGCAGAAGCCACCCAACCTGTAAATTCAGTCTTCTCTGCTTCCAGCAAAATGTCAGGTATAGTCTTTCATAGAAAAAAAAAGTATGCATATTGTCTTGCATTGCTGATCTGCTTATTAATTTGTAATGACGTGTTTTGCATGAAGTCCGGCGACGGTCGGAGAGCATGGAGGGTCTGTTCTTATTCGATGAGCGAAAAGACCGGAGGTCGGACGTGGAGAACTCAGAGGATGAGAGGAGAAGGCTGTCCATTGGCGGGTCACTCAAGAAGAAAGCGCTGAATGCATCAAGCAAGCTCACACATTCGCTCAAGAAGCGGGGGAAGAGGAAGGTGGAGCATCGGGCTTCTTCCTTCACCATTGAAGACGTCAGGGATGAGGAGGAGGAGCGTGCCGTGTTTACATTTCAGCAAGAGCTTTTGAACAGGAACTTGCTATGTGACAAGCAAAATGACTATCACATGTTGCTGAGGTTGGTGCTCCAACATAACTCAACAGCAGACAAAGAGCTGCCGAAACATGGACAGAGAATTTCTTGTTTTGTTTACATTACAAGTCTAAAGCTTCCCTGCCTTTATGTATACTGTAGGTTTTTGAAGGCAAGGAAATTTGACACTGAGAAAGCCATTCATATGTGGGCTGAGATGCTCCAATGGAGAAAAGAATTCGGTGCGGATACAATACTCGAGGTGAGTGAGACTAATGATGCTTGCCTACAGGAAAAGTATCTTTAATCTTAAACTAGATTTTTACTTCTTCTGAACAGTATAACCAACACTTGCCATTGGCAAATAAATCCTGTAGGATTTCGTTTTTGAAGAGCTGGACGAGGTGCTCTCCTATTACCCTCAGGGTTACCATGGAGTTGACAGGCAAGGAAGGCCAGTATACATCGAGAGATTAGGGAAAGTTGACCCAAATAAACTGATGAACATCACCACAGTTGACCGCTACATCAAGTATCATGTGCAAGAGTTTGAGAGAGCCTTCTTGGACAAGTTTCCAGCATGCTCTATCGCAGCGAAAAGGCATATTGATTCTACAACCACTATACTAGATGTTGAAGGCGTGGTATGATGGTTCTTTCCATATTTGCAAGATCTTAACTCTGTGTAGAAGACTAACTTTGTCAACTTTTATTTTGGGGCCCAAAATAGTTGGCATAAAGACTGCATGCTAACATTTGCCACTCTGTTGTGCTGCAGGGTTTCAAAAACTTCAGCAAAACAGCAAGGGAAATGCTAACTAGAATGCAAAAAATAGACAGTGATTATTATCCTGAGGTATGCCGACATTTTGTTTCTTATCTTGATCAATACTTGGTGCCACTTTGTTTAACACTTTACATGTATGCTCAGACACTGCACCAGATGTTTGTTGTAAATGCTGGCGGTGGTTTCAAGCTACTATGGAATTCAGTGAAAGGTTTTCTTGACCCTAAAACGGTCTCAAAGATACATGTGAGCACGAGTCTGCTGTTATTTTCCTCTTTTCAAATAAATAATTCTGATGAATCCTCAAATTTAGGTTTTGGGAACAAAATTCCAAAGCAAACTTCTTGAAGTAATAGATGGAAGGTGCACTTCTCATTCACAACAATTTGTTATATAATGTTATTGATCAGAAAGCTTTCTCCTGGTACCTTTGACTGAACACTTCTTTTTTCTATTTGCAGCCAACTTCCTGAATTTTTGGGTGGAACATGCACATGTGCGGGTGAGGGAGGATGCCTCAAGTCTAACAAAGGTCCATGGAATGACCCTAACATTATGAAGGTGAATTTGGTTTATTTGCTCTGGAATTATATGTGCTTCTCCTTCGTTGCTTTTCTGAAACTTAGATTTTCAGTTGAGTTTTTGAATATTAAGAACTTGACAATGCCATGTTGACAAAGATTATCATAAATATACGAAATCCCATAAATAGCTTTGTAGTGGTAAATATGTGAAATGTCAAAACTAGCTTTGTATTGGGCATACTTCAAGGCGATGTACTTCCCAACTGCTGGGCAAGTTTGTGAATTGGCCTTTCTTCTTTAAAAGGATATTACTGCACGCAATTCACGGTGTCCGGTCCAGCTGAATATACCACTAAATTTGAAACTCCTGATATGCTTTCGTTAAATTTTCTTGCAAAGTTTTTTTTCCTCGCAATTTCAGCATCACGTCTTTCAAACATGATATACAACAGCATTCTCAACTGCAGTACTATGTGTTTGCTTGTAGGTTGCACATAACAAAGAAGCAAAGTTTGTAAGGCATACAAGACGCTTATCTGAGATCGAGCAACGAAGGGGTTCATTTGCTAGGTTACATCTTTTGAAGGCAAGTTCAGTACTTCGAACCACTATTTGTTATTTACTTACTCATCATATGATTGAAACCTTTTGTGTTGGTGTAAACATTACTAGCAACTTACCAATTCTCGGGACCTATCGGTTTTAAGAAGCCGATTGTAGGGTACACGCCACATGTTGTCGTGATTACCTATCCTCACGTTTAACTTTAACCCATGCACTTCTTTGCGGTACTGATATTGAGTTTCCACAAAAATGAAAAGTAACGTGTATTGATTGTGCCTATTAAAAATTGGAACCCTTTGTGGTTTCATCAGCAATGTTCATCTTAGCATCCATAACAATTTGCCTTTTTTTTCTCTCATTGTGAATAACAGGGTAGAAACAGTGACACGTCAACAGCTGAGTCAGGATCAGATGTTGATGATCTAGGTTCTCCTATGATGAGAAGCACATTGGGGTGCAGTCGACTAGCTCCAGTTCGTGAAGAAGTGAGCTTTCCTCCTGAATATACTGAATATACAAATGATTGATCTGAGTATACTGAATCTCCTAAACTTTTACCTCAAAATTCTGAATCTCCTATGTTTAACACAGATGCAGATGAGAGCACGAGAGTCTGCGGCTTATTACAGTTGCGATGATCACTTTGTGGTGGTGGACAAAACAGTTGATTATGGCAGAGGAGGATCAATGCCAGATAAAAGCAGTGCCCCACAAGTAAGAGTACAAGCCCAGCCTTCAGGCACACAAAACACTCCAGGTATTTTTACTTGTGGTCTTCTGAGGTCACTTTATGCAGATATAAAGTGATGTGCTATTTTTTGCTCTTTCCCTATAAAATTTTGTTTAGTTTGTTAATTCCTACTGAATGTATTACTATTAGTATCAAAATGAACAGATAGTGCAATGAACTAAGATTTTTGAAAATAAATATTCAAGATTTCCTCATGTTTGTTCATATTATTTTTTTACTCTCTTTAGGCTCTTCAAGAAACAGTCGTGCTATACTAGTACCCAAAGAGATTCCGGAGGAAGGGAAATTCTATCGTTTTCTCAGATTACTGCTGGTTCTGGTTGTTAGGGTTTTTACCTTCTTACGCACAGTATGCAGTCAGCCAGAGATAACGATGGTCAACAACCCACTACCTCCAGCTCCTGAGTTTGAACCCATCCCTGGTGATCATCCAGCAGTTGAAGCGTTCAGTGTGGACCTTGTCAGTCCTGTCATTGAGCGCCTTCAGAAGCTCGAGGGTCGGGTTGATGAGCTCGGCAGCAAGCCCCCAGAGATTCCCCTGGAGAAAGAACGCTCCCTCTTGGATTCATGGGATAGGATCAAATGTATCGAATCTGACCTCGAAAGGACGAAGAAAGTAAGTGTTTGTTAACACCATTGTTTTTCTTATAAATATATATCTCCGTGTCAAAGTTTAGGAAATACACTGTATTCTAAATGTTGGAAATGGTCAAGCAACAAGAATGCTGAGATCAAGAACTTGAAAGACAACTTGAACATTTTTGTCAGGAAATGTTTTAATAAGAAAATGTTGGAAATGATCAAGCAACAAGAATGTCTCAAGAATTTGAAAGACAACTTGAACATTTTTGTTAGGAAAGACGGGGAGTGAATAGGCTTTTTTTCTTAACAGTACTTTCAGCTAAGGAGTTCCATTATTACATCCTTTGGAAATTATCTTTATTTTCATATAGGGAATTACCAAATATATCTTGCTGCCAATCTCAGATGTAATATGAAAAAATATTCCCTTCCATTAATCAGGTTCTGCAGGCTACTGTGATGAAGCAACTAGAAATTGCAGACTCAATAGACGAAGTTATCTTGTCAAAGCTGCACGTAAGATCAACTGCTTCCCTCTTTTTTTCGCTTGTAACTGCATTGCCAGCCTCACCATTTTACTGCTTCTTAATTGGTTTATGCAGAGGCGAAGATTTTGTGCGTAATAAACCATCGTAACTCCTTAACAATACGCACCATGGGGGTAATTAAACTTGAGACAACATTTGGGGGGACAAATTTGGCGGGAAAAGTTATGCATAAGACGGATCCAACGAGTGTCAAATGTACTTTAAGTTCAGATTGGCTCAAATAACGGGTGTTGGTCGGTCATAGTGAAATCACCCTGTTTCATTAGTTATCTTCTACTCACTCTGTAACGAATATAAGACGTTTTTTGGTGTAGTTGACTTCAGTAAAACGTCCTACATTTTGTTACAGAGGTTGTAACTCCCAAGAATTTGTCTGTTTTTCATGTTTGCAAAGAGGATAATGGACGACGCCATAAATGTGCTTCACGTATGTGTTATGTCGAAATATAGCTAGGCCATGTACAGCGGGCTGATGTCAGTTTTTTCTCAAGGTAAGGTCCAAGGCCATATATTAAATAAAACTAGTCATTACAAGACCTTTCTTTTAAGAATTTGAAATTACAAGCAAATTCTTCTGTATCCACGGGCGGCGCTTGTTGGAACTCAAAAGCTTGTACAAGCAGCGGTTGGGAAATCTTGCAGATAAGAAGCTAGATACAATGGTCTATAGATTGCCATCCCGGAGAAGCTGGCACAATAGAGGGCAAGAAGATACTGCTAGACAAAGGAGGGTGACACAAATCTCACAAGTTCCCTGACGGAACCGCATATGGTTGAGCTTCATTGGACGGAGAGGAACTAGAGAACTAAAACACGTCAGAGTTCACAAACACTAACCACACTAGACTGAATGCCCGACGATCGACACTACCACGTTTAGAAACATGTTTTAAAATGAAATTAAAATAACTTTGATTATTATTTAAAACATTGCCAAAAAAATGTCTTGTATGAACATATAATTGTTTGTATGTACAAAATAAAATATTCATCATGTATTAAAAAATGTTCATATATATTAAAAATATGCATACATTTGAAAACTTACCTGTTTCAAAACTTCATATTAAGAAATGTTCATCTATACAACAAATATATATAAAATTATCCATGTATTATTTTTTACGTATTTTCCAAAAATCATGGTTTCAAAAAAAGTCATACAGGTGTGAATATATGCTTCATATACTGCAAAAGGTTATCTAAAAATAAAAATAACCACAAATCAAAGGAAAATAAAATGGGTACAGATATAGAAATATAAAGTAAAATATAAAATTAACTAAAAAAGAAAGAGAAACCTATTGTACCAGGAGTGGGCCATTCGCGCGCATGTGAGCATTGATGCAGTGAGCGTCGAATAGGGATTGTGGGTCAAGTAGCTGATCAACACTGATCGCTCACAAAAAAAAACCCTGATCAACACTGCATTACATTTTTCTGTCAACAGTTTTGCGAGCCCTTGACCATGACCAGTCTTCCTTGACAACATTAACTTCCTTTATCTGTCAAACGATTCTGCGAGCTAGGACTAGGAAACTGCCACCTGATGAACGAGAACGTGCCGCGCAATCTCTGAGCTGACTAATACTGATTCACGTACGCGTCTAAGACTTGTCCAATCCCCTTTTTAATTCGATCATATGACAACACACGGTCAAGCTTGCCCCAAAACTACTTCAGGTCTAACAGTTGTTCCCTTCGACAACCAGTGGAATGCCAAATGTTTACTCCTGCAATAGGTGATTGAGGGTAATGAGCTGAAAATTTCAAGAGGCAGCAACCAGTTGACATTTCCAGCTTCCTCTGCGGCCCCCAGGGCCTTAAATACCGCTCCAGGGGCCGACCTTCCCAAAACAAAGCTCAAGCTCAAGGAGATCAATCCGCAACAATGGTTAGGATGCTGGATCTTGCTGCGACCGAAGGCCTCTCCGAGCCTGCCAATGTCGTGGGCCTAGCTTTCGTCTTCGTGGCCGTCGTCGCGGTCGTGGCTATCGCCTTGTTCAGCTGCGCCGATGGCCCCGACAGGTCCGGTGTGAAGCCTAGACGTAGTCGGCGCCATTGGGGCGGCGGTGGCGGGGGAGGAGGGGGAGGCTGCGGAGGAGGCGGTGGCTGCGGGGGTGGAGGCTGTTAAGGAAGCGCGTCGTGCAGAGCAGTCCTCGACATATATGGGGACTGTGCGTTACAATCTGTTAGAACTATTGCACCGCCGTCATATTTGTGTGCCTATGGAAATTTCATGCATATTTTGACTTGTGAATATATTTGTAGTTTTGTACCACGTACCATGTATATATTTGTTTCTTGATTCCATTTGGCTTGTCACCTGTTGCCTCCGTTTTGATGAGCTACCGAGGTTTTGAGCACTATCTGTGCAGATACCATGCATATATTGTGCTCGTAACTTTTCTTTATTGTACTATTCGTAATTTTGAGTACTTGTTCATAGCCAGAGGCCGGCCATGAACATGTAGGTGGCGTCGCCAAGTGCCAAGTGTTAAGTTGGACGTCGCGTGCTCGGTCTATGGTAGGGTGTTGCTACAGCAAATGCCCTTTTGGGCTAGGGCCGACGACGGCGACTCCCTCCAGTGCCGTTTACCTTGGTGGCTACCACAACCCGAAGAGCTTCTGGTTTGCAGATAATGTTGATGGTGCTATTGATGCAGTAAACTTGCTGTCTGGCTGTTAAAGTGTGACTTTGTATAGCTAACAATGCGTATTCTCGTTTGCATACGGTTGTACATATACGCGTATAGGTTTTTTTTTGGTCTCCAAGACTTGTAATCTTGCTATAAATATATAAGCCGATCGCCACTTGAGAAGCGTCTTCCTTCAAACCAATTCTCGTTTATATGGTATCAGCCCTTCTTTTCTAAAACCCTAGCTTCCGCCGCTCCAACCCCATCCGCTGCCGCCCTAAACCCTAGGCACCGCCGCGGTTCCGCCTCCCCTCCCAGATCGCCGCCATGTCCACCTCCGCATCCTCGTCGTCCATACTCCGGGCGCATATGTCCCGAGCCCTCACCACCTCCACCGCCGCCGCCGCATCGCCCGCCCTCACGTCGCCGGCATCTCAGGCCGTCCACGTGCCTAGCGTCAAGACGCACGTCCCCGTCGTCCTCGACCTGCAGCAGTCCAACTACGCCAAGTGGCGCATGCTCATCACCGTCCTCCTCGGCAAGTACGAGCTCATGGATCAAATCTCCGCCGTCACACCGCCGGACGCTCGCACGGCCGAGTGGCAGCGCCAGGACTACGTCGTCCACTCGTGGCTCTACGACTCCATTAGCGACGACATCCTGGACACCATCATGGCCCAAGATCAGACGGCGTATGACGCCTACGCGCTGATCCGGAACCTCTTCCTTGACAATCAGCTCACCCGGGCCGTCTACCTCGAGGCACAGTTCCGAGCCCTCGTCCAGGGCGACCTCACCATCACCGCCTACTGCCACCGCCTGAAGGCCCTCTCCGACGTGCTGCCGGATGTGGGGCAGCCCGTGACTGACCAGACCTTGGTCCTCACCTGCCTTCGGGGCCTGAACCCACGCTTCTCCGACATCACGACCCTTGTCACGATGCAGGTTCCGGCTCCCACCTTCCTGCAGACGCGCTCCATCCTCCTTCTGCGCGAGAACCAGCTCGCCAACACCGCTCCCGGTGGCTCCCTCTCGTCCCAAGTCGCTCTCTATGGCAACACCGCCGGGTCCTCCACCGGCGGCAACTCGGGCGGCCACTCGGGCGGCAACGGCGGCCGCTGGTCGAAGAAGAAGAAGAACGTCGGCGGGGGTGCAGCCAACTCCACCACCACTCAACCTGTCGCGGCATCCGGCCCATGGATCTGCTTTAACCCGTACACCGGCCAGACTCAGCAGATGCAGCCCGCCTGGCGCCCCCACGCCGCGCCGTTTCCTCCTGCCGGGGGCGCTGGTCTACTCGGGCCGGCCCCGCGGTCTGCCTCTTCAGCGCCGCCGCCCTGTCAGTCTACCTGGGTGCCCCCAGGTCAGGTCGCCTACACGACCCAACTGGCACCGCTGCACGGCCAGGCCTGGGCACTAACCCGCCCCCACCCGCGGTGCCCTACACGCCCGGCCCGGCATGGGACTGCTCTGCCCTCGTCGCCTCCCTGAACGCCACTACCGGCACTCCAGCCGCCGACCCTTCCACACCGGGCGCATGGGTCAGGGACTCCGGCGCAACCTCGCACATGGTCTCCAACCCTGGTATACTCTCCACTCCCTCCCATCCTCCTCCTTCCCTTCGTGTCACCGTTGGCAATGGCGATCCACTTCCCATCACCGCCACCGGCCACTTCACTCTCCGCACACCTAGCCACACTTTCCACATTAACAGTGTTCTAGTTGTTCCAGATATCATCAAAAATCTTCTTTCTACTCGTCAGTTCACCATTGATAATTCAGTTTCTGTTGAATATGACCTGTGTGGCTTTTCTATTAAGGATCTTCACACTCGGCACGAGATTATTCGCTGCAGTAGCCATGGTCCACTCTACGAGTTCTTCGCCAACACCAACACCACCACCTCGCCGTTTGGACTCGTCGCCACCACCACCGCATCGGAGCTATGGCATCGTTGCTTAGGACATCCGGGTCGTGACTTTATGTCACATTTATCTTCAGAATTTGCTATTCCATGTAATAAAAGCACTCAAGTGTGTCATGCATGCCAACTTGGCAAGCACGTGCGTCTACCGTTTTCTAGATCATCTACAGTTTGTGTCATTCCGTTCCAATTGCTTCATTGTGATTTGTGGACATCACCTGTTGCTAGTAACTCTGGCTTCAAATACTACTTGGTTATTGTCGATGATATTTCTCATTTTATGTGGACCTTCCCACTACGTCGGAAATCCGACACATGTGATATCCTCGTTAACTTTGTAGCATACGCAGATACACAATTCAATCTCCCGGTCGTGTCCTTCCAAACCGACAATGGCACTGAGTTTGTTAACTCCATCTTTGTTGAGTTCCTTGCCCGCCACGGCATCCACCTACGTATGTCTTGCCCGTACACTTCTCCTCAAAACGGCAAGGCTGAGCGTGCTCTTCGCA